AGCTGGAAATGTGCTTCTTCGCCAGAGATGAAAACTTCCAGACTTTAAAAAGTCTGAAAGCCTTTAAAGGCTCATGAGTCACTTGTTGTTGCCCTTCTGTTCTCCAAGAATCCATGTACTTACAATCACTTGGAACATTAAGAACTCTAAGTACTGCCATGAAAAGTCAGCACCTTGTTGCAAGTGTCACCATGGAAAGTATCTCACATTGCCCACTGACAGTGATATGAGACTAACAGCAACTAGACCTGCTGCAACTTTCTGAAATTAGTAGCAGCATGCTCCAATCTGTATTTACTGTCACACGGCCTGAGAGCCTGAATAACAGATCAGAACTCTGAGACAACAAGCACGATGGAAACGCCTGATGGAAAGATAATCTTCCCCATCTGCTGGTTTCACTGAGCCATTTGCAAATCCAACGGCCTCTGGAACTGCTTCCTGCTTACTCCCCATACTCAGCTCCACATCACTCAAAAATGGAAGGCATTTCACAAACACCCCCTAGATGACCAGGGAGGAGATGTTCACCTGAAGTCCTCTTTCTTCTGTCCCAGTGACCCTGGATGCCCTAAAAGCCAGATCAGCTTTTGCGTGTATGCAGCACAAAGTGACAATGAGGGAACTTCACGTATGAAGGCTGCTACACAGAATTCTGTTTGTCCACCGTGTGTAGCTTATTTTGTACAAAGAACAGTTATTAAGACCTTCTTACACGAGTAAAGCCCGATTTACTGCTCTCATTCAATATTCATTATGATTTTGTCAGACTGTATTAAAGGATTTAACCTCAAAATTCCCTGGTGAAAAATTATCAAAAGCTTCAAAGGACAGAACCAGAAACCTAAATGATATATGAGACAGCAGAGAAATCAGGAGCTTGATATTCAGAAGAAGAAGAGTTATTTATACAAGTCAAAACATTAATGGTTTCAAAATGAAAGCCAATCTCCACCAGAAAAAAAAAGAAGTTATATTATTGAAATTTTCTCTCCATTTTATAATTTAATCACTGGGATAACAATACTAGGCAAATTTAATTTTAGCAAAAAAAAAGCTACTAAGGATATCTATACAACCCATGTAAGTGTATACCATTTCACAAAAAAAGGATCAAGAAATAAATTACATTTCACTTTTACCAGTAATAAGCAACGTTTATTCAAACTCGATACAAGATAAAACTGTATTCCAAAAGTTAATGAAAAATACCACCATTCTATTAAATTAGTTTAATGTAAATTATCATAAATTATTTCCTTCTTCATTGCCTTTTCTTGATTACACGGGAACATAATGAAGACTGATATTATATATTACTTCTGTGTCTCACATTGTGACTATGAACTTAACTCATAAGACGACCAGCAGACCAGATCCATAACTCAAGTATTTAAGCTTTAGATTTCAAGAGGAGTTGAGAGATAGAAACACCCTAATGGACCCGCACATGTGTTCAGAGTTCCCAGGAAATACTCCAGGCACAAAACATCCTTAACCACTCGAGCATCGGGTGACAAGCTGTGGCTAATTTTAATCTTGTAAACACCAAGGGTCCATCCAACAGCACACTGAAATCATTTCCCATTTGATTTAATTCATACTGATTCTCTGAAGATAATGATTATTTTAAAAGGGCTCCCTTCTCCTATTGCTAAAGGAAACATATCCAATGTGACATTTTGCTCCCCTGCACGCACACTTCTTGACCTTTCTTTACCAAGAAACAAAACAACAAGAACAATAAAAACCCCCCTCCTGAAAAATGGCATAGACTGAAAAATGACGTTAGCAAACATAATTCCTCCTTTCAACACACAGCCAGCCCAGTCCAAGACCGGGAAACGTTATGGGTACCACCTCTGCCCCTATGACAGCACCCTAAAAAACAGAGCTTGGAAAGCTGTTGCCAGCTTCCCAAGGCAGAGGACAGTGGTGCAGGCATACACTCAGGCAGGGGAACAGGGCTCAAACCCAAAGAACTTCCAACTGTGAGCCCTGCTAAATGTCTGAAAAGTAACGCATTTCTAAGAACATGAGCTCGGCAACATTGCAAATGATATTTCAATTTACACACCCCAGCAAAATACCATGCGAGTGCTAAGGCTTTTGAAGACTCATTAAAATGCTGCATTATCACCCTTCACAGAAGTTCGTCTATTCCTACCAAATTTGCTCAGACTGTATTTTGCTAATGCAGTCTCGTGAAGACCATCACTACAGATGAAAACTCACTCTCAATTTTCAAAGAGCCAGGAAATCACTACAGGTCTACAGAACGCATCTGGTGAGCCAAGAGGGAGGAGGTCACAAAAAAAAAAAGAAAGCCCTTTCAGGTTAAGAAACCAAAAAAGCGTAATGGGAGCATCTCAGACTCCTACTATCCAAAATACAGTAACAATGGTTGCTTGTTCAGCACATCTTTTACTAAAAATAAATGCTGCTATCCTCTCTTCCCAGGAACACCCCATGCTTCTCTGAAAAGCTGTGCTACAGCTAAATCCCACAAGAAAGACTTCTACAAGTCACACTGTTAATATGCCCACTGCAGAATATTCAACCTTCCAACTTGAATTCAATTAAAAGGGGGAAAAAAGAAACAGATTTCCATTTCAAGCTATATGCTACACCAAACAACTGAAAAACCAAGAAGTTAAACACTTTTGGACTTGATCTGAAGCATCGTAACACCAACTCACTTCTCTGACAGCAGGCAGCTCTGTACTGATACCTGGTAGGAACACCTCTGACTGTGAAGCACAGGACTATCTAAAAGCAGAACCTCCTCTCACAGACCCTGACATGCATCATCCACAGTGTCATACTTCTGATACATGCCAGGTTTTAAATGTTGACACTTCACAAATACATTTTTTTCCTGACAGCTTCCTTACTAGCTAACTCCAATGACAGATGATTGAAGCCCAGAGAGTAAATGGCGCCGTCTCTCTATATTTTTGGTACAGAGAGTAAATTCAGTATAATGACAAGCACTTGTACCCCTAAGCAAGTGAAATACTGCTCTTGCAAGGTCACACCCAGTCAACTTGACAGCCTCAGAGCCTTGCTCCTTCTGGGACACACATCCTACCCCTCCTGATGAGGCAGCACCAGTGGGATGGTGCAGAGCCAGGCATATTGGCACTCCTCACTCCATCAGGATAAGGAGAAAGCACTACATTCTCCAAGGGAATCTTCAGCAGCTCCAAAAACAGCATGAAATGCAACAGGGCCCCCACAAAACCTGCTGCTGCACAAAGGACATGCTGTGCATGAAACCAATGAACTAAGATTATCATGAAGGCTATAAAATGGAAGTCTTGCAACAAGGACAGCAACATGGCAATAGCAATGAAGTAGTTCATATGAGTATCTCCACTGACTGCAGAATTAAAACAATAACAAGGCAATTATTTAAGATATTCCAGTATTTTAACATCAATCAGAATCAACTCCATAGAAAATAAATTAAAATGCACACTCAGTTAGAATCGTAAAATCATTAAGGTTGAAAAGACCTCTCACATCACCTAGTGCAATCATCAGCCCATCCCTGCTATGCCCACTAACCACATCCCTCAGTGTCACATCTCCAAGTTTTTGAACACCTCCAGAGACAGACTCCACCACCTCCATGGGCAGCCTGTTCCACAGCCTCACCGCCCTTTCTGAGAAGTTTTACCTAACATTCAGCCTGCTCCATCAGCACTAGTTCAAGTTCAGTTTCATTTCCTTCACAGCACAAGCAGAGCTGTCATTTTCATCATAGAAAATAAAATAACTAACTTGAATTTCAAGATAATTAACACCACTGTTACACAGCAATGTCTAAGTAGGCACTGTTGGCTTAAGCTCGAATTGCTTGAATGATGGCAGCAGAGCCACCATGGACTCATTTGGAGAATGTGTTTTCAGACCAACAGATTACATTCCCCCAGTGTCACTTCAACTGTAGGAAAAGCAGTTCCAACCTCAAAGCATGAGCCTTCTCTGCTACATCTTTTCTCCCTCCCTTCACTACACACAAACGAGCTATTAAACCCTACATAAACAGAATGAGCAGCACTTAGCATCTCCTGATAGGGATCTATTTAAACAAGAATTAAAAGACTGAACGTTTCTGTGGATTTAGGCCTAGAAGCTCAAACCTGCACACGTGTGTTTTGTCTCATCACCTCAGTGATCCCTGGGGTGACTGGGAACAAACTCCAGGGGTCATGCAGAAGTTATGCAAATAGAAATGAGTTTATCAAGATGCAGCAGTCACCATGAGATGTTCTTAGAGGTCTTTTCCAACCTCAAGGGTTCTAAGATTCTATGAAACTATAGAATCACCATTTCACAGCAGAGGAAATCACGCAATCATAGAACCAATGAGGTTGGAAATGACCTCTAAGACCATCTACAGTCCAACCGTCCGCCTACCAACAATACAGCCCACCAACCATGTCTCTCAGTGCCACATCTCCATTTTTCCTGAACACCTCCAGAGATGGCGATTGCATCACCTCCCTAGGCAGCCTATTCCAATACCTCACACCATTGCTTCTGAGAAGAAATGTTTCCTAATATCCAACCTGAACCTCCCCTGGTGCAACATGAGGCCATTCCCTCTCACCCTATCGCTGACTTTACCTTAACAAACACCTTTACACAAAAACCTAAAAGCTGACTGTCAGAACACAGAATGCACACAGAATGCCACCATTTCCATGGCAAACACCTGCACACACGCCAAAGCAAAGACCAACACCTCCACGTGAACTTAAAGCTCCAAGCTCTGCAACATCTCCAAACACCGGCCTCACAAACTGCTTTGGACTCATTTATGCACGTGCTGCATCCCTAAAGCTGCACTCTCGATGGCCCTGGAGCATCAGTCCTCACCGAGGTCACCTCACCCACCTTCACCGTCCGCCCGCCCGCCCTCGCGGCTCTCAGCAGCCGGGCCCCGCCGTGTCCCCGCCCGACCCGGCCCCGCCGCCCCCCGCAGCGCTCACCCTTCTTGTCCATCAGCCACATGAAGAAGAAGCAGGGCACGAAGCCGATGGGCCCCCAGAAGACGAGCAGGGCGATGTCCCAGCCGCTGAAACCGAAGGCCAGGCGGGCCGAGTTCTGGATGGGGCCCCAGCTGTTCCACACCAGGCCCTGCGAGAAGCCCAGCAGCGAGAAGAGCAACAGCACCAACCACCGCCGCCCGTACACGCGGCCCGCGGCCGGCGCCAACCGCCGAACGGGAACCGGCACGGCCGGGCCCCCCGCCGGCCCCCGAGGCTGCGGCCGCCGCTGCGCTGCCGTTGGGGGCGGCGGGGGCCGCAGGAGCGGCTGCCGCTCCTCCGCGCTGCTCCAGCCTAAGCCCATCTGCCGGGGCGGCCCGCCGGGGCGAAGGGTAGGGGGCCGGGGACGCCCGCACTTGAAGCCCGGAGCGCGGCGGCGCTGCCCCGGCCCAGCACAGCCGCATGCGCGGTCGGGGAGGGCCGGCGGCCGCCTCCTTCCTCCGGCGGCGAGGGGAGGAGGAAAGCGGCGCCGGGGAGGGGAGCGCGGCCGGGGGACGCCTCGTGGGGCCGGTCCGCTCCGGGCTAGGCCCGCTCGGCCGTCGGTGAGGGCGGTGCGGAAGGGAGCGGAACGGCTATGGCCGGGGTGGACAGCGGCGGCCCCGCCGCGCCCGGTAGGTGCCCGCCGGCCCGGGGTGCGGCCCTGCTGGGCGAGAGACGCGGTTTAGTTAGCTCGTCTGCTGAGGCCTGGTGGCTGTGCCCCGGCTCCCGAACCCGCAGTTACTGCGGAAGGCCCGACCTCGTCTCGCACCGCAGGGTTCCAAGTAACCTTTTGTTTCGTTCCAGGAGACGAGTGCGTTAAGGCTTGAAGGGGGCTGTTTTGCGGTTGTGCCTCTTAGTATCTAGAAGTGCACGGGATGGATGGAGCGCGCCTAAATGGGTGTCTGTGCCTCGCAGCTGTCAGAGCTGTGCTGTAATGAAGAGGATAAAAATCAGCTATGGACTGGATTGGAATAAAAACCCCACCAGGGTTCGGTTACTGCCTGCACGTAAATCCATTTTAAGAGAATTCAGATGAATATACGGCCGTGTGAGCTGCGCTGAGCTCATTAGGAACTATTATCGTTTAAATAGGCTGAAGTATATGTTCATTTAATTAGGTTGTATGAGTATTTATCTGTATATCTACCATCTGCACTTGTCATAAAATTAATGGCTCATGCGCTGCACAATGCTTCGTCTCCCTTAAAAAATGACGTATTTCTGTTTGGCTCGCGTAGGAATTCTGTCACAAAGATTGGTTTGATAAATGCCCGTGTGCTTAATTGGGAAGAGCTAAATGGTGGGACCCACGCGGGCTGGTTTTAGATGGCAATGCTAATGCTGTAATTCTGATAATACATTGGCAGCACATGATTGAAATTCAGACATCGTGCCCAACCCACGGCTTTGCAGCCAAAACCACGTATTCCCATAAATACCCCTCTCCCTCCCCTCCAGAAAACCCAAACATACAGACATTGCATATTGTTTAGCCCATCTAGTTCTGTTTGCTCGACTGCAAAGGGACTGGAAGCTGCAAACACTAAGGGTGGGAAAAGGAAACGAGTATCAGCTGAAATCATCAGAAATGTGATCAAAATGAAAGTAAGGTTTTAGCTAGAAAACTTCAGGATATTTTCAAGGGAAAATAAAGTTTATGCACAAATAAATAACAGAAGAATGTAAAATGAATGCAAAGTAAAATTTAGGCTTGCCGTGTACAATTATGGTGAGAAAAATAAAATACAGTAAAAATACTGGATGAGGTTCAGCCTTGATTATGACTGATGTGTATTCCGCAGTGTGTTGGGGTTCCAAGTCAGATTAATTCCCCGTTTTGCCTGGCAGTCTTTATACTTTACTGCTTCAGTGTAGTTCAGCCCATGCCAAAATATTCTCTCAATTTAAAATGGCCATGTTAGTACTATAATTTAATTGATTTGGTGGCATCGTGCCAAAGACAAAGTGCTGTCATTTGCAGAAGTAAACAAAGTAAAAAAATGTTTTTCTCTGAACATTTTTCAATTAACTGTAGTAATTATAGTGATGTCTTGTTTATTCTAGTAGCAGAAATAAGGAAGGTGAGGCTTTGCAGTGTTCTTTAACTGCAAAATGTGCCTCTTGCCTCCAATACCTGTATAGAAAAATGAAAACTTGAATATAAGCAGGATAATTCTTTGATAACTTATCTAAGTCACTTCACCATATGACAGTTTTAAAGATATTTTGGCTCACACATGACCCAGCAGGAGAGGGAGGTTTCTGAGAAACTGACAAAAGAAAGGGGGCATTAAAATAGACTTGGAAAATCTCGGTTTATTTACTACTGGATTAATCATGTTTTGAATAATTTATTTTAACTGCCTGATTCTAAATCGCTCCATCTTTCTCATAGCTTTACAACCCATACGCAGATCTTTCAGTCATGGCCTGACCTTTTCTGTTCCAGCTATTTAATTAACACAGTGTAATATTCTGTGTGAATTATTCTTGTTTGCAGGATATGGTACTGTTTAAATTTGTTAATGTAAAGGAGCAGTGCATTGTTGATAAACTGTTGGAAACCAAATTAGCTTTATCTTGCAGCTAGCTGATTGCATTATTTCACTCATGGGCATAATACTTCTCCAAATATGCTAATTTCACTCTTTTCACCGTGTGGTGACATTTTTACTGTTCTCATTACTGACATTTGTAATATGTGGGGTGGGGAAATCTTTTTTTGCTTTAACCTCATTATAATGTAGCTAAAGAGATTTGAATATTATCAGATGAAGTGCACATATTACTCAGGCAAGTGGAAAGGTTATTTCATCTCCTGGCCCAGAACCTAAATGCCTATAACAGGACTTGCATGGACTTAGGGCTTCTAGATTGAAAACTGTGATACAGAGCACCATCCTGGTTATCAGCTACACAGCCACAATAGCATATCCATTGGTAGGTACCTCCATTTCAAACCTGAAAGCTCCCAAGGTTGCATCTCCATATTCATGCCTACCTGCCTGTATGCAGCCTAAACCCTCCGGAATTCATCCTAAGAGGAGCTGGTGGCCTCTAGCTGTGATAGACTAGTAGTGATGGGAAAAAATTACATGACTGAAGCTGTTAGAGCTGCCAATTGCTCATCCCATCCCTGAGGCACACCCGGCTGATCCATTTAGGAATTGGCATCCAGACTGTACTGCTTTCAGCTTGTCTTTAAAAAGATAAACTGAAGGTTTTTACACATTCGTTGTAACCCTGAGGCACCTGGAGAGCCTAATTCAGCTTAAACACTCCTATCGTGTGGTGGTTAAGCTGAGCAGTCCAGGAGGGTGTCCCCCATGAGGGAACTCCTAATATTTTGAATATTCCCTCCAGCATCCAAAAAGAGGCCTGTTTTCCAAGGATTTCCCTCAACTTCTAGGCTTTGGTTGGAGTTGTGACAGTATGGTGTCAGAGTTCTCATACATAGCACTTGAGTGGCAGAGTGATGCAATGGTTCTCTTCTTCACGTTCTGCCCTTGCACAGACCTTTGAAGAGTTATGGACAAATCCTGTCCTTCCCTCATGTTATTTTGACATTCCCTTCCTTCTGGTTACACAGCAGGATCTGCTCTGTTTTTGGCTTATTTTGGCATCTTCAGTCTGCAAGCTGTACCTTTCTCAACTTTCAGTGAGAGGTAGCTAGACTCCTAGCTCTACAGTCATCCAATGATTCCTTTATACTTTGAGACAAAATCTTTTTACATTACTTCCTTATTTTGTTTTGTTTTTCTGCTATCAAATAAAGGAAAATACGGAAGCCGGACAGTTTAAATTCAAATATCAGTATTTTCCAGTAGATATTCATTTTTACCTTTAGTCTGGAGCCTGTGCATGTCCACACTGTACAGTGACCATTACAGGTGAGATGATCATAGGTTTGTGCTTAGCCAGATCCCATTGCAGTGTCCTTTGGGTAGATGTGAGGTAGCTTATTGTTCTATGTGAAGTCGACTTCGGTGGTTGGCTAATAAAAGGCATCTCACCAGATTCCCTGTACACCATGCTGTGGGTTCTTCAGCTCTTGAAAGTAATATGCAAAAGTCAGATTCAGGTCTTCAGTATTTTAGAGAGGTTATATGGGAGCAGAAGTTCAGTGGGCCATGGTCCCAATGTTCTTCCACTTCATTCAGAGTTACTGAATAGTTCTTCTACTTTATTTGGAGCTCTAAGAAACTGCAAACATCAGTAGAATATTTTCATCTCACAGTTGCATTAGGGAAATCAAACTCTGAAGATTGATGATTTCCTGTCTTTCTAAAAACCTAAGAATGATGGAAATGAGCTGGGTCACACCAGGATGCTAGGCCTGATTTGGGAATACAGAGTGAAAATCTCCACGTTTTCTTGAGCTGGGACTGCCTCAGTATTGGTCTCATAATCTCTCTGATGCCAGCAAGAAGAGCTAGTCAATTTGCTGTGGCACTGGTCTGTGCATTGTGTCGCTGGTGAATGTGTTTCTCATTTCTGATCAGACTTTGACATTGTTCTCCTGTTGTCTCACATCATAGCAGCAAGGAGCCACTTAGCCCTGCTGCAATGATCTCAGCGTTAGGATGCTTGCATATGCACAATTCTGTTGTCTGGCCAGTCATGCACAGCTGTCATACAATAGGTATGCTATGACACCACTAACAACAGCTTGTTGTATGGAAAGTTGTGAAAGGAACTATTTTCAGAAGAAACAGAGTTTCTTCTGTGTTGAATATTTCTATTAAGAAACCTGTCTAACATTAATGAAAAGTTAAGATTGAACGTCAAGTTACAAGAGCTTGGTGATTCAGATTTTAGTGAGCAGTGTTAGGTCAAATGTGTCCTTAGCTGTATTAGAGCAAGATTTTACATTCCTTATGTGAACTCCAAGATTCAAAACAAAACATAGAAAGAAGTTCTTCAAAGACAATTTCCCCTTTGTTTCTGATAACAAGTACGTAAGAAATACATCCCCAGTGCGTTGTTGGATGAGAACCTTTAGAAAAGCAAATAGCAACTTATAACAAAGGTTTAGCTGACTTCTGCTTTAGCCATGACAAAAGAAATAGTCTAAACAGATGTAGCAATAGCTAAGCTTTTAGCTTTATTTCCTGTAATATTGGCAATCCCAGAATCTCATGCCTCATTTGTGCACAGTAGTAATTGTGCACTTCAGAAACTTTCTGGAGGCTCACATGGTGAATCTTCCCAGTTTCTTTCAGTGTAATAATCTGTGTAATTCTAAAATATTTCTGTTAATCCTTCAAAGATATAATTTCATTTGGACAGTTGTAACTCCAAAGGACTCTAGTTGGGAACTAATCAGACTGTACATTCTAC